CTGGTGGGATTTGCAGGATGAAATCCCCCCCTCCTGGTGGTCACAGCAGTGCCCAGACCGTTTCTGGGGACAAGGGGATGGATTTGGGTGGGATTTATAGGATGAAATTGCCCCTCCCGTCCCCTCCTGAGGGCCACAGATGTGCCCAGCTCCTTTCTGGGGACATCGAGGACGAGGGGATGGATTTGGGTGGGATATACAGGATAAAATCTCCCCTTCCCGTCCCTTCCTGGTGGTCACAGCAGTGCCCAGCCCGTTTCTAGGGACAAAGGAATGGATTTGGGTGGGATTTGCAGGATGAAATCCCCAGCACGTTTCTGGGGACATCGAGGACGAGGTGATGGATTTGCAGGATGAAACCCCCCAGGCCCTATGAAATCCCCCCTCCCGTCCCCTCCCGGGGCCGCGTTCACCCCACAAGGGCTGAAATCCCAGCCCAGCTCTGCTGCTGCCCSACAGCCCTTGGGGACAGAATGGGGACACAGCGGTGCCAAGAGGATGCGGGGGCGCGGAGGATGCCACCGCCACCCTTCCCCTGCGCTGTTCCGGTTCAGAATCACTCATCAACTGCTTCATTAGGCTTTAATTAGCCCGGGTGAGGAGCAGGGCGGGGCGGGGCAGGTCCTGTGTGCTCCTCTCTGAGTTTCGGAGAGGTGAGGAGGGGTCCCGAGGGTGGGGACAAACCCCAGAKGTCGGGATTTGGAGCTCTGGGCTTTCCCCGTTTGGCCAAACCCCTCCGTTCCGGGGTGAGGTGACAGCTCCCGGGGCTCAGAGCCGGCCGCGGTGGCGGTGACACTGTCGCCGTGTCCCTGTCCCCTCCAGGGCAGCAAGGAGCGYTTCCACTGGCAGAGCCACAATGTCAAGCAGAGCGGCGTGGACGACATGGTGCTGCTGGCCAAGATCTCCGAGGATGCCATCGTGGAAAACCTCAAGAAGCGCTTCATGGATGATTTCATCTTCGTATCCTCCCCCGGGCACCGGGACGGGATTCAGGACGGGCACAGGGCTTTGTCAGGACTGTCCCCTGCAGGGACAGGATTGGGGTTGGCAGCCGGAATGTCCCCGTTCCCAAGCCCAGGTGCGCTCGGCAGAGCCACAACAACCAAATGCCAGCCCTGGCACGCTCCGGGAGCCGCTTTGGTCCTTCCTTTGTGGCCGCAAAGCCCCGAGCAAAGCCCCTCACCCGCTGTGTGACACCGCACCTGCACGGCGGGGACAGCCCTGACTGTGACCGGGGGTGGCAGCGGTGACCCTGGTGGCAGCAGTGTCCCGGGGTGGCAGTGACCCGGGGTGGCAGCAGCGTTCTGGGGTGGCAACAGTGACCCGGGGGTGGCAGTGACCCCAGTGCCAGCAGTGACCCGGGGGTGGCAGTGACCCGGGCTGGCAGCAGTGACCCCGGTGCCAGCAGTGACCGCCGTCCCCTGCTGATGTCACCCACCCCAGCGATGTCCCCACAGCGTGTCCCGCATAAATCCATGCAAACCCGGGATGCAGCGGGAGCGCCCCTACACGAGTGCCACCCTCAGTGCCACCCCCTGTCCCCAGCAGTGCCGGGACACAGGGGACACCATCCCCAGGGCGCGGGGACAAAGGTCCCACCCCGGAGCTGGCCCTGCAGGWGGACAGGGACGTGTCCCCAACCCTCGCCGCGCTCACCCCCAGGGGTGGCTGTCCCTGCTGGGGACAGGGAGCAGAGCCCCGAGGGRCACGGGGGACACGGGGAGCGCTGCCCGGGGCGGCGGCCGAGCCTCAAGACGCGGCTCTGTCCTTACAAGGTGACACTGCCCCGGCTGTGACTCAGCCGCCTCCCCCCACAGCCCCGGGGTTTTGCATCTCTTCGGGGTTGGCTTTTTTGGGGTTTTTTTTGGTTGGTTTT